TGTTGCTGTAAAATACGGAAGCGGAGTTAAACAGAACCAAATAAGTACATATGCTTTATTTTTCATTAAAATTACGGTGCAGATGATCGTAGCTGTTCTAATATTAGGAGAATGAATTTTCCTCCTCTCTTCTCCATAAATCTAATCAGCCCCAGAACAAAGGTTATAAAATGAATTACAATAGGAAAATACATATTAAATGAGTTCATCTATCATGCTTTCGTTGCCTTGGCTTCTCGGTACAGTTCGTCAACAGTTTCCTGCATTAGTTCGTGCTTTCGTTAGTAAGTAGATAACAAAACTCACCTGAACTCTTTTGTGGCGTTGTTGTGACCAACTGAACTTTGGGAAATTATCATTAATGCAGTTAAGGGGCTGGATGAAATATTTGATTGCAACCCTGACAATGCTACGGAAAACTTTGTAAGCTTTGCTGCTTAAGAATGGATTTGTGGTTATTTAACCATGAAAATTGTTTAAGCCTTACTCTTTGACTCCATTTATGATAATTTCCCAAAATTCATGGGGTTTTCATAAAACTCGCCGAAGTTTAGGCGGTTCTGCTCAATTTACAAAGTTTAGGGTAAGTTTTTGTGCAAAACCCCCCAAAAGTCAGCGGGTTTCGTGGAATTTACCCCTAGATAAAATAATGCCACGTCTTGTTACCTTAATGCCATGTCTTGTTACCTGGTAATATTTGAGCAACTGTGGCCTCTTCAACTTGAATGTTGGAGTAACCAGATCCCTCTCCATATCAAACGGCACCGGTTCAAGATGAATTGCTTTCAACATCTCAAAGCCTCTCAACTGTATCAAGAAGCTCTAATTTCACTCAAAACACATTCATCACTGTTACATTCTTCTGCAAAACTAAACGGAACGCTAACTTACTTGTTGTGTTCGACCCGTGTTATTGAGCAAATCAAGGATGTATTTTCTTGCTTCCGGATGCTTGCACAGCTCCTCAAAGCTTCCAGTTACATTGTTTTGTGCCGCCCAGTTCTCCAGTGGTTTTCTTTCAGGAATTGCTACTCCTACTAGAAATGACTCAAAGCTGTTCCCATAGACCCAAACCTATATAATAGTGAAAAGAGAATAAAGATGAGAATCATGTATCTCATACATCAGTTAAAAAAAGTTTTTATTCTTTCTATATTTTTGTCACATACCAATGTAACCAGAGGGCATTGATTATATGCATTCTCAATGCTCTCGACGGCAACATATTCCCCTTGAGACAATTTAAAAATATTCTTTTTTCTGTCAATAATCTTCATCGAACCATTTGGTAGCCATTCTCCAATGTCACCTGCATGAACCGGATTCTACATAATGTTACACATTGCTAGTGTTTTCAGCCAATAACCAAGTTTTCGAATAAAGTGTCCTTCAGTCTCAATTCTTGTTGATTGAATTCTTTGATGTTGCGAATATTAAATAGCAACAAGGATATCTTGAGCTACCAAACTCACTTATTGAACATCAAGTGTGATATATGTACCTGTGTGAAACCATCCGTCTACAAGAACTTCATCAGTGAGGTCTTGCCTCTTGTAGTAACCAGAGAACAAGGTTTCACCCCTCAAACAAATCTCTCCGCGAGGTACAGAAGAGAGCGCATCATAACCCATTTCAGGTACTGACTCTAATCTTGCCTCTATCATTGTAACGGGGATCCCCACAGTTCCTATCATCGGGAATATGTTGGCTATTGATGTAAAACACCCGGCACAACTCTCTGTAAGACCTGCATATCAATTTACGGTCATAAGCACACACTATTTTGTGGTAGGTTTTTCTTACCTATGTACCACCAAATCTATCCTATTTGCATATTTGCCCTCCAAATCTGACTATTTTCTCATTTACCCCTATTTTCTGTTAATCTGGGAGTGTTTTAATTCAATGTCAAGGAACGCCAGGGCAAATTAGTAAACAGTTAGATTTGAGGGGGATTAAGGTAGATTCAGGGATTATATAGATAAAATCCCCTTTATGATAATTGAATTACTTTAGGAGGTTACCGTATCCTTGTACTACAACACTGCAGCTTGTGACTCTCAAGAACTCCTCAATATGCTTAGGTAAAGGCGCAGCTCCCGATAACATTATCCTTACACGGCCCCCGAGTCCTTGTTTGATCTATAAACCAGAAAAGTTGGAATGTGGACTATATGGAAATGTGAAATAGAAAGAGGGAAAACCAGTTGTACTAACTTTATTGAACACTAAGGTGTCAAACAACGGTGATGCTTTATCTTGTTTGATTCCATTCTTCAAATACCTTAACTTGCTGATCGAACAAACCAATATCATCCAATTCAATGGAATATAAATGATGATGGTGAAACAAAGAATTCGAAAGAGGAACATAGAGCATACTGGTCATAAGCAAACTCAAATAGCTTCTTTGCTACTACTCCTCCAGAAGAGAGTTTCTGCTTGATACCTTAAAACCAGAATAAAGCCAATTATAATAAGAAATTTAGTAGCGTCAGAAACATAAAACTCAATCAAGAGTAACAGTTTTATGTGAAGGCGGAACCTGTGTATATTCGGTCATATACTCGAGGTACAGCAGCAAAGAGTGTTGGTTTAAGTTCCTGGACGTCCTCCATTAAATATCGGACGTCCTGCAGTCAGGGGTAAATAACGAATGTTTAAATACAGGATAAAAGGGAGCTCCTAAGAAAGAGAGATGTATATAGAGCAGAAAGGACATACCCCTCTCCAGAATCCTATGGATGCTCCCTTCGATATGCAATAGTTCTCGATGATTTGATCAAATATGTGGGCTAACGGAAGGAATGAGAAGTAGGAATCTTGTTCAGTAATCTGTAAGAAGACTATATATGATAAATGATCTTATGGAAAACATTAGAAATAAATTGGAAAATCTATTGGCTCACTGGTCATTAAATTATTGCTTTATCTATTAGAAAAGAATATAATCAATTAGTGTGTGTGGCTATGATGGTAGCAAAGTGTTAAGATTTAGCAGCTTCTAGGTTCATGTTGGGTTGTTGATGATAAGTATGTGTTAGATTCTACTACTGACCTAGACTATTATTAATAGTATCCAATATGTGGATACTATCAACTCAATTTTAAAATTTAAAGAGGGAAAATGAAAATCCAAACTGGTAGATATGATCTATTACCCATGAACTATCTAGATATTAAATTTCAAAGGTATTGAACATCATTAACCCATACGTCATATGTCATCAAAATCAACCTTTTAGAAATTCAAAAAGATGCTTAATTTTTCAACTGTTGACCCATGATTGAGAACATATCCTAATTCTTTAAAATTTCAATTCTAAGTAGTTCATGTGTAGTAGATCAAATCTACTAGATTGGATTTTTATTTTTCAATTTTCAATCTTAATTTTGGGTTGATAGTATCCGCATGTTGGATACTATTAATAGTATAGCCCAACTCAACTCTTATTATTTTACATTTTAAGCTTTCTCCTTGTACAAACACAGACTGAAAATGTATGTATTCGAGTACACATGAAATGCATTAGACCTCTCATGGAAAATATTTATATATGAATTATGGCCTCGACCACCTGCTTTACGGTAAATATAACAAAAAAGATTTAAGAAATTTTAGTCACTAGTTTTGCTTTGGGGTTGTGCATCCACCTTACGTACTACTTACTCTACTCTCAATAGAAAGAAAGCACATGTCACAACTAAGTAGAGTTCAGTGGCCTGAATGTGTTAAACCTAGCTTAAGAGTTGAGATATTCCTGCTTGTTTAATTCATGAATTATATGTTCATTATTTCCTTACATATTAGGTTTCTTTCTTGTACAAATTACAACAAACATATGTATATAGCATGTGTATATCCACTTCTCTTGTCTAAATCTTGGAGAATTGATGTGTGACGCATAGAATATCATGCCCACTTCTAGAAGTCATAAATTCAAAGTGCATGTACTGACATTATGTGCAACAGAACTTGGGATACTTCGAGTAACTGTTGGGAAATTCAGTCTAGAATTGCAACTGATAGCTCAATAGAGTTAAGCTTACATAATCATCCATAACTATACCAAGGAAAATTAGCATCTTCCAGGGAATAACGTGGAGAATTCGAAAGTTTCCCTTGGATGAAAGCATCCATTTTTACAAAAAAAAAAGAAAAAAAGAAAAGAAAAAAAAGACTTTACCACTTTGTCAGTCTCTACAAGGAGATGATCTGTAGTAGCAACCTCTGCCACAACTGCTTTGTTAGTGAGAATGACTCCTTTGGGGTCTCCCGTCGTCCCACTCGTATACATTATTGTGCATATATCGTCCCTGTGTTTTTGTGGAAGCTTGGGATTTGCACTTGCCTGAAAAGATGAGAATTAAATGAGAAACACATGAAATTGCGTTAAATGTGTCAATATGCAAGTTCCACAATAAGTATGAGTGATACTCCATTGCATAATCATGCACACATTATATTTATGTTGTTCAAATGCCTGTGAATGAAGATGGACTAGGCTAGTCTACTCAGACCAAGGGTACTGAAAAGGTTACCCTTTAATCGCATCTTGAATCCTAGCTTATTTAATAATACATCCACCTAATTGTTCTTCCAGTATATGGGACTAAATCCCCTCACATGTCTTGCTATGTCAAACCCACACATTGAACTGGATGGATGCAAAATACTTCTAGCAACGAGTGCTAAATTTGGGTTTCAAGCTAGAAGGGAATTCAGGTGTAACATACTATTTAATCATGAAATAAGTGTTTGATCATCTATAGACTATAGGGTATATAAGAGCTCACCATAGAAACAAATTCCTCCCAGGAGAAGCAAGAAACTTCAACTTGTTGAGCTTTTTGCTTGTGCTCATCGGCAACATTTCCAAAGCTGACAATTGCTGGATCATGTAGGGAATGAATAATATGTCATTAGGGCAGCACAATATGAGTAGTGAATTGATGAAAAATGAAAGAACATACTCTTCAGATAAGTAGCACAACTCTCAAGGCATGTTAACAGCTGAACAACAATAAATACAAAGAGTAAGATCATCTCGAATATATTATAAACATAATATTCAGCAAAAAAAAGGGCATTTTCCTGCCCAATCAAGCTCACACTTCAAGAATCACAAAGACCCAAGCATGTAAAAGGCAGCAGTTTTCTGCTATATAAGATAATGATTTGCAGCAAGAACTTACAACTAAGAGTTCTTCCAGCTAACAGTACGCCAACAAAGAAATATACATGGATTGTAAACATAATTGAAGAATGTATGATCCTTCTATATTACCCGGATAAAAAATGTGAATGCTGGTTGAATTAATAGGAAAACGATACTTAGTTTTGAGGGAAAAAGGATAAATTCAGCTCACAGATGTCATCTTGTTCTCTTGAACAAAAGCTATCGAGATTTCTGCATGTTTGATGATGAACTCTACTGCATTAGGACCTGAACGAAATGCAAAATTGCAGAAGATGAATAAGCTTGGCTAAACTAGCAATACATGTTCTGAAAGAAACAATTTATAACATATAAATCACTCATCACATAGATGCTTTTAATAGTGGAATGAGTGACAAGAACGAAAATTAATGGATGAGAACTAGTAAAGAAGAAACTATTTTTTGGCATTGATCAGTTATTCATTAATATAAAAGTAGACCAAATGGTATAACCCAGGTCCCAGGGAATGCATTATACGGACAAAATTATTGGATGAGAACAGGTAAAGAAACCATCACTATATTCTGATATTGAACATATCCCTAATTCTTAAAATGGAATAAATTGTTTTATGGCATCTTATAATTTGACACCTGTTATTATCTAACAGCAAAGAGAAAGCAAGTTACCTACCGAGGGTGTCATACAAAGGGACATAACAGATTCCTTGACTGTTACAAGCCTGGAAAAAGAAATGGAAAAAAAAACACAGAACTTTAGGACTGAATCTTACTTAGGAGAACCAATTGGCAATTTGTACTCAATTAAACCCTTTATAAGTCTAACATTAATCCATATAAACATGATATAATGCAAATTAACTCAAGTCTGAATTCAAAAGCACTCGACATCTCTTTTTCCTATTTTATACATGCATACATGGACACATACAAACAATAGTGTAGACGTACTTATATATGCGCATATGAATGAATGAATTTATTTACATATGTATCTATCTATGTATATAAGTACCTCCATGGTTACCACCCATTCAGGAGAATTCGATCCATAAATACCACAGCGATCTCCCTAAAAGAGCAGAACATCATTTTGTGAGTAATACCTTAATTGGGTAATTAAGGTAAATCCATAAGAAAGGCCTATGAAATAAATTTCTCTCGAAAAGTCGAAAACATATAATAATAATAATAAAATATCATATAATGGTTAATATTAAAGACTGCCTCACCGGGTTGGCACCACTTTCTCGAATAGCAGAGCCAACTTTGATAGCTTTATCATAGGCCTCCTCATACGTAGTCCATTTATACGAACTCACCTACAAACACAACCAAATTAGTAAGCATCATCAGCCATACAGAAGCAGTTCGATATTGAAATTAACTGATTTAGCTACATTATTTGGAACTTAAGGAAGAAGAACACAGAAGAATACATATGCTACAATATTTACAGTATTTGGGTTACAACATCTACATTAGACTAAATTATGTAACTAATCAACACCTTTGTACAGTAAACATGGCTAAATTGAGGGTAGCGTTGACGTCAGTGCAGGAGATTCATGTGATAGTTTCATATTGAGGGGGCGAAAAAGGGGTTTAAAAAGAGTAACAAAAATTTATTACTAGCACCTAACTTATTTATGTCAAGGTTCATAGTTATCGATCTAACCAAAGTTAGATTAATCCACAGACGACGAATAATGTCCAACATAACTTAGTCGCATACCTTTCCATCGATGGTCTCACGATGACCAAGCATTGCATTTTGAGGGTATCTCTTAACAGATCCGCTGAAATACAACGCACGAAACCAAATTACAAAGCACACACGTACAAGGCCTTTTTAAAATGTTTTACTTATTTCAGTGCGTTGAGGTACCTGAAAAAATCCCATGGGCACTCAACTCCAACAGGCACATCCAGGAGGCCGTTCCTCGCGTAAATGCAGCGGTAAACAGGACCGGCTGAAGGCTTAGCCTCGCTCCCGGGCCTCGCCTCCTCCACCTTCACGGTATACACTCCCTCTTCCTGCATTCCTGTGTTATATGAACACAGTCGCAGTTACAGATTATGTAGAGGAACTTAGATTGCAAATTGAAGCAAATTGATGGAGTTACAGGGGAGGGGAGAATGAGATGAAGGGAGAGTGAATTTATAGAAAGTTCTGTACGCTGGGCCTATGCCTGTACATGCAATGAAGGATCATCAGCAACTTTGGGCGGCATTTATGAGCAAAATAAAAGTAGTGTTGACGCGTGATGATTTTTCTAGTTGGCAGTTCCCTTCATTTATTAGTTCCAGTTTATTTATTAAACTTCACAGAAAAAGTCCCCTAGGATTATTTGGGGCTTCTCTTTGTTTGATTGTAGTCTGTTAAGGGGCTGGCTCTCTTGTTAGCTAGCCCCTAATACCATCAGAAGAATTGCAATTGTATTGAAGTACTACAACAAAACGGAGGGCTTCTCTAGTTTGTTTATATAATTTAATTTAAAGTGCTTTTCTTTTTTCAATTATATATATATATTACTATACTAAGCAAAGCGAGTAACACTGTCAATTCGCAAATTCTCTCCGACTTCAATAGCATATGGGAGGTCTACAAATGGCGTCCTTGTCATGCGATTGTGTTGTACATTATTTTCCTGGTTTTTAACGTACCAGTGATATTGTTGTTATCGAACAAGAAAGAAAGAGAAGACAAGGTGAAAATGAATATAGAAATTTACAAGAAAGAATATACGTAACCGATCTCGAATATTTTTTTGTAACAAGTCAATTTATACAAACAAATTATATTCTTCGTAATGCGTGTTTAAATAATTCATTTTAAAAAATGTATGTTAAGATAATAGAGACCTAGAGATACCCACGAATGGATAGTTCAGTTCCTAATAAAATGGAATATCTTCCTATGTCAATCAACAACATAGCTAAAGCAAGCACAAAAGAAAATGACGCTGCAATGTTTTTAATACACACAGAATTCGTCAACAAAAAAAAACGGATCGAACCGAGCTCTAGTTTTGGATGTAAAAAACATTATGGTCAATTGTAGATACACTGTCCATGCCATAGAGGATTTTAAACTCGTCGATGTCCAAACGAAACCATCTATCAACTGTTTTCCTTGCTGCAGGGGGTACGCGCTCAACATCTACAAAAGAATAGACCATCTCTCACAGTAACATAGTGACGGCATGGGAAAATCTCGTGATAAGTATATCCAACAGAGTACCATATTGACAGCACAAGGCATTCTCATGACGAGCACAGGTAACGAAGAGACGCCAGAGTGCCATGAGGAGAACTTTGGAGGTGTAAGCAGCTAACTTATTGTTGTACAGGGGATGCATACGCGATCAACACAAAGATTTAAACTAGTATGTGCTAAGCTATGGCCCTGAGATACCAGTGTACTTGTTTGATATCCTTCGAAACATTCAAGCTTGATAGGAACTGTATCCATCTTATATCTCAGCTGGCTTGGTCTCTTTTTTCCATGGGGGCCGCATTTGGCAGGAGCAATGATGATGAGAGCGCTGGACTACATCTTGCAGCTATTCGGGGGACTTGGTCCCCGTTTCAACTGCACCAATTTATGCTCCTCTTATCTAACCAGCTAGATGTAAGATAAGATTAGTAATAAAAAAATTTAAAAAAAAAAGGCAAGAACACAGGAGTAGAAGCTAAATGACGCAATTTAACTTGTCCTATGCTCTTCTCTCTATGCCAAATTCCATTTGAAACATTACCTGAATCAAATTTTGACTAAATGGCTTAGCGTTAAATGAATCCAACAGGCTTTGTACCTACCACAATTTTGCTGTGGTACATATTACCCTGCAAATTTTAGTGTGGGACGGGAACTAACTCATCCTTAAAGTATTAATGAGCTCTCAAGTTTTCCTCCTAAAGCATCAATTTATCTATTTTATCATTCATACTATGTTTATAGTTTCAATGTGGTCATTTCATGAGCCTACAATCAAATATTTATCATATCGATGTTATGACAGCGTTTTTTGCATTTTCATAACCACTTTCCCCTAAACGTTTTACCCTTTAAACCGTTCTCGGAATTGAAAAATTATTTTTTGAATTATATAAAATAAAATAAATGGGAAAAAAAACACTATCACATCCTTAATCTATTAAATATTTGGCTATAGGTTACTTTAATGGTATTTTAATGGGCTTGAGAGTTCACCAATACTTTAAGAGGAATCTGATCATTTTGTCATTGGTATGTTCTCTGCGACTACAATCACTTGGC